GTAAGACGGTTAGAATTTTATATACTATGATTTTTTCATCAGTCCGGAATGGACTAATGGTAAACTGATCGCGTGACACGTTGCCGTCAGTCTCCCGTCAGTCACCGCTCGGCAGGGACACGATATCGAATAGAAAGTATCGCTACTGTACTCATGAGTAGTATCAGTAAAAAAGTATCGATACTTCAAAGTATCGAGTACATTTCATAGGGCCTTATGGCCTACGTAGCCTCTGTGGCCTGATGAGCAAAACTCCCCCCCCCCCCCCCGTGTTAAAATTGAAAGAAAAACAATATAATTTTATTATAGTACGTATAATCAAAAACAAAAAAAAGGACATGTAAATAAATTCACAAATTGCTATATTATATAATGAAAAGAAAATAGCTGTGATTTCTGACACTAAAAAAGTGTTCATTAATATTACATTCATAATTTAAATGTTAATTAAAAAGATCGAAATCTTAAACAATTTAAAAGTATGAAACTTTTCAGATTTGTTTCAAATTAAACTTACTTTTCTTGAATTTTAATCATTAAAAAACATTATACCCACTTATGTTAACTTGAATCTGACACGGAGTTAACGGCTGCCATTGGCATGCTTCACTCAAGATTATAATTGCCATCAATATGAGGCGCTTATTCAAATTTTTAAAGGTATCGATACTTGCCAAAAAGTACTCATTTAGTAAAAGTATCGAATACAAAGTATCGGTATCGAAAGGAAAAGTACTCGATACCACAAAGTATCGATACTTTTTTCGTGTCCCTAGGACAGCGATGGATGAACACGTCGAAAATGCGTACGCGCCGCCTGCGCCTTTGGTCTTCCCGCCACAAAGTCCCGGGACTTCGACATTTTTAATAATAACATTTATATTGAATTAATTTCTGGTAAAACCGTTTTAATAAAAAGGCACTTTTTAGTAATAATCAATATTTATTAAACGTAAAATAATAAATATAGTTATAATCATAGTAATCATGCTATTTCATAATAACTTTTATATAATACTAGCTGTCCCAGCGAACTTCGTACCGCCATAAAAAAACAGGGGTTGGTGGTAGAAGGGTGAATTTTTAGGGTTGTATGTATTTTTGTATGATGTATCATAAAAAAAAACAAAAACAAAATGTCCAAAAAAATAATAATTTAAGGGGACCACTCTTAACATTTAGGTGGATGAAAAATAGATGTTGTCCCATTCTCAAACCTACTGAATATGCATATAAAATTTCACGAAATCGGTCGAAGCGTTTCGGAGTACTTCAATTACGCACACCGTGACACGAGAATTTTATATATTAGATTTAGTATTTGGTCCTAATGATAACATTCGTAATTCTCATAATCACATATTTGTTTTGTAATGCGACGACCGGCGTGGTCAAGTGGTTTGTACGCCGGGTTTTATGGTTTCGCCGACTCGAGAGGTCCCGATGTCCCGAGGGGGCAAATGTTGTATTTCTATATAAATATAATTATAATATGTACTATATATGTATTATATCCGTTACCGTAGTACCTCATAACACAAGCCTTACAGTGCTTACTTTGAGGCTAGGCTGATTGGTGTGTGTTGGGAAATTTATAAAAAAATTATAAATAAAATAATCAAAATAAAAAAGAGACTTATAATTCAGTGTTATATATAAATTAAGAAATAAAAGTTAGACTTCAGAAATTATAATCATTATCCAAACGTCACAGAACAAACAATGTTGGCGCGGCAAACGCATTTATTATGTTGTGTGTAGTAGTTTTTTAGATAAATCCATGGCTTTTCGCGTAATACGTTCACATGCGACTAAGTTCTTGACTGACCGTGAAATCTGTATATCAGTCCATCAGTCTGCTATCAGTCTGGACTGATGGACTGAACTGATGCCAAACTGAGCGTGTAACCCACCTCATAGGTGTCGATTCTGGCAGGATTCTCTAAACTTAAAATTAAATTTGACAACTGTGTATCCATGTCATTCTATATACAGAATTATTAGAAGTTAAACAATTTTCTATATTAAGGTACACGTAAAGTTGGCAAAGATTACGTTAGGTAGGCAAGTTTTCCAACTAGTAGTATGTAGTTTTTATATATTAGTGTAAGCTAGACATAAAAATGTTTTTTTGATGTGCAACATCTTTCTTCTCGCTTTTCTGCAATTTGTGGGAGTGATTTCGTGGGACGGAAGTGTGTAACAGGAAGTCGCGGAAACGCGCGCCAATTGATTTGATTTTAGAACATAATGTTCAAATGGCTTAATCCTTTTGTAGTAAGTTTTTTTTTTACTAAAATAAGGTGAGGTTTAAAATGTTACATATCATACGCGACTGCTGTAAGGCTCACTCGTTTTTTTAACTCTTTTCATGTCCACAACACTTTGTTGTAACTTTTAATAAAGTCACAAGAGTTATATGTCGGTTTTTTTAAGATTAAATGGGGACATTTATGATTTTAATGCGTCTGCCCGACGTACTGTAAAATGAGACAACATCCTACACTATGCACCTCTCTTGCTTTAAAAAATGAGGACCGGTTATAACGTTCATAGTGATCATCTCCTTATTAGTATAAATTCTTTGGTCAGAATTCAATTTGGCTGATTGTACATAGACCTAATGTTTCCATATTAATGGAAACAAAATTCGATCAAGTATGATCGATAATTCACATACAGGTGACGATTATGGCATGATTCTCTAAATCTAAATTTAACATCAGCCTCTCCCTTTTATTCTGAATAGAGTATGACAAGGATACATTGTTGTAAAAATATTTAAACAAAAAAATTGTGTGTGTCAGCTCCGACGCACGACTGGAGTTTACTCCTTAAGTTCGATAGTCTAACCATACGCAAAAAGAGTTTATTTAACTTAAAAATGATTGATACTGTATGAAAGGGTAAATTAACAAATTAATGAAAATAATATACATATATAAATATATATTTATTGATTTCATATACATTTATTATAACTAATCCACGAAATATTTTACATTAAACTTTTTACAATAGTCAATTTCAGATGTTTTAAGTTATTGTAGATCTTAGTGTTTTTATTTGTTTTGTTACCTTAAGTCATGGTGGGCGATAACAGTCATGTTGTTAAGTTAAATATTTGTAAGGACAAATCTCAGTTTGTCCTTGGTGGGCGATTATGTATACGCCATTTGTGCATTTAAAATTTTAGTTCATATGTATTTAAATAGATGGCGCTGTAGTTCATTGTATCACGCTTGTAAATATGTTTGGAGCTACCTCTGAATAAGGAAGGAGCTACATATAGGCAAAACGTCACCTAGCTAATAAAGAAATCTATGGTCTAACAAAATACACTGTAGTTTCAATTTAATTCTTTTGCACCTAAGCTCTCGGATTTAAGAGTCATTTTGGCTCGAACAGGATGCGCACTAAAAACGTAACGAGGTCATTCATCGATAGATTTAACTCCTCACATTTTTCTCATACCGGGCCCCTTATATATGCAAATCGATTCTTAAGGAGTAAACTCCAAAAATAAAACCGACTTCAAAATCGAAAATGGAACTAAAAAGTAAAAATTAATATCTGGTTCATGATTTGGAAGTCGGGCGGGTCAAGATTGAAAGACGTATTATTACCGATCAGAAACGATAATCTATTTAATGTTTCAATCTTGACCCCGCCTGACTTCCAACTTATGAACCAGATATTGGTATCGATTCCGACATGATTCTCTAAACCTAAACTTAAATTTGACAACAGTGCATCCTTGTCATTCACTATACAGAATGAAAAGGAAAGACTGTTGTTAAATATAGTTTTAAGTTTAGAGAATCACGCCAGAATCGGTACCATTATTTTTTACTTTTTAGTTCCATTTTCAAATTTAGTCGGTTTTATTTTTTGTTAAAAAAAATTATTTCATCCATTTTAGTGAAAAGCACATAAAAATAAAAAAATGGGTGCGTGTACTTATGTAGGCGCGTGAGAAGTTATCCTTCTTTGGCATCGTTTAAAATTAGTTTTTAATTGCATGCAAATAATTAATTACAATAAATTAATAAAAAGTCTGGAAAAGGACACAGTCAATAAAGTTCAGTTTTAATTTGAAAAAATAAATAAATAATCAAAATATTCAATTAAAATCGCTACTGAATATAATTTATTAGAACATATGTGATTTGCACTTGTATGAAACTCAAACACGTATTCCGAATATACAAACTAGAAACATGTGGATAAATATTATAAATATGAATACCTATAACTGTTACTTTATTACAAAAAATAAAGATGTGGTTTTTGGTTCTACTACACCAATGGTCAAGAGATGGCGCTGTAGTCTCCTGAATCGCGCTTTGGTTCCGTTGTTCCAGATTAATAAATACTTTTGATAGGCCTTCACAATGCAGTCGTTAGCACCCACTAAATAGAGATTCTATTTCTATTTTGTTGGTAGATTTTCTTAATGTGCGGTAAACACAAAAGTTTAATTTTTGTGTTGCAGTGATGCGCGCGCATCTTAAAATTTCACTCTCATAATTTTTTCATAACGCGCCTAAAGAAGTATAACTTCAAAAATAAAATGGTTGCCTGTAAAGTCGGTTTTACGGGCGAAGATTTTACGTGACATCGTCTTTTTCTCGGTAGAATATTTATTGATATGAATATAATTAAATTGCACAATAGGAACAAGGAATTGAATGAAAATAAGAATTGCACAAATTTTAACTATAGAAATATATTTTGTTTACTAAAACATTGTACATGTAAACTTAAACTCATCGTAACGTTACCGAGCGTTACACTTTTTCATAAGTGACTCCCAGCCGCAACCTAATTTAAGACGTTGTCACGTCAAAAAAACAGTTGACCACAGAACCTGCTCCTTTTTTGAAGTCGGTTAAAAATGTAATTTAAGGTTTAGAGAATCATGCCAGAATCGACACCACAAAATGTTTTTTTTTTATTTTGTGACTGTTTCCGTTTCACACAAAAATTTCGCCAATATCCCGTACATTACCATTACACTACACTAGTGTCACGTTCACAGACTACAGAGTCACGTCAATCAATGTCTTGACGTCACGTTAATCATCATCATTCATTCATTCAATTCGACCAACATTTATGTCTTGCTTTGCTTGCTACAAACGAAAGCATCACGAAAGGATTTTGTTTGTTTAATTTTTCCAAGAAATAACATTTCAAGAAACAATTCAAAGAGTCGAGAAGATGCCGAAGTACTACTGTGATTATTGTGATACATATTTAACACACGATTCGCCAAGTGTCAGAAAGACACATTGCACTGGAAGAAAACATAAAGACAATGTGAAATTTTACTACCAAAAATGGATGGAGGAACAGGCTCAAAATCTCATCGATGCCACCACAGCAGCATTCAAAGCTGGTAAAATTGCTCAGAATCCGTTTGGAAATAAAGGTGCAGCTATTCCCCCACCGTGGGATCCGTCAGTGATGGGGCCTGGTGGGCCAAGACCACCAGTCCCGGCGCCTGGTGGTCCGCCAGGTATGCTGCCGCCACCGACCATGGGGCCAGGTGGTCCAATGGCGCCGCCTATGATGATGGGTCCTCATGGTCCCATGCCACCGATGGGAATGGGGATGGGAATGAGACCACCTATGATGGGACCGCTCATGGGCCCAATGGGACCCATGGGTCCAATGGGTCAAATGAGACCGCCTCAGATGAATGGACCGATGATCAAATAGTGGAGAAATTTGACAACTGTAAGTTAAATTTGACAATATTAGTGACCATGTTTTACTATTACAAATGAAGGCGAGGCAAACATACAGACATAATTTTGTTCTTGCTGTATTGAAGTTACAATTGCTACAAGTTTTGATATGATTGCACATAAGAAAAATCTTAATGTTGAAACTTTATTAGCCTAATAATGATGTGTAAACATAATAATTTGTTGTAGTTTGTATGGCACCTAAGCTGTCAACATGAAGGGACCAGAATTAGTTTTCAGTTCTGTATAGGCTTAGAAATTTAATATTTTTCTATAACTAATAATTTCATTAAATTGTATTAAACAAAATGTTTTGATACCTGTATATGAGAATTTGGAATAACCAGAAGCATTTGACTTCCCAATGTGAAATCTGAGCTATTGTGTTTACAGAACCACTTAGAGCAGAAACCCTAAAGCTTGTAAGCCTTTGTCTATAATGGTTCAAGTACAAATTGTTAGTATTCCATCAAGCATGTGCTTTGTAACATTGAAATAATGTCAGCCAACGGAGTACCTGATTATTGCATCTTCTCAGATGAGGGAAAAGTATAAAATTTATATAGGACAGAAATCCTAGTCTGATCCCTTTATTATGCATTGACGCATCATTATGATCTTATTTGTTTAAATGAAGATTAATGATTTAGTTTTACTTTTCTGTCATAAAAATTTGTTTAAGTTCCAAATTTAAGGTATTGTAATGTAATAGTAACAATATGCTCTTTTTTTAAACATATGTATTATTTTTTTCTCTACTGTGCGCAGTCTGTTGTTAGATATTTTGTAACTTCTTTAATTTCATTAGTATGAAGTAAGTATCAATATGTGACTGTAAATAAATATAAGAATTAGTTAATAAATTTTACAGTACCAAATATTTGTTTATATTTATGAATTCCCGGTGTATGTACATCTGACATTTAATATTTTGCATACTAAAATATATTTGATATATTGCTTAGTAAAAGCCTGCTTGCACTAAACTTTTACCCCCTTATTAATAAACGAAGAATAAGCTTGGATTAGTTACTCCATATTTTGTCTCTGTTCATCGAATAACATAAGGCATTTGAGTGACATGAACAAAACACGACGTAACTAGTCTAAGCTTATTCCTTGTTTATTAATAAGGGGGTTAGTTTGCATAAATTTATACATAAAGATTTTTTTTTAATTGTCAATAAATATTAAAGTTTTTCACAAATATAGTGATGTTTTTCAACTAAATGTAACTTAAATTAGATTTGTGAATTTATAACAAATATATGTTTTGGTGTAACTTTTATGCTCTGTCTTCCCTTAGTTAGTCTATTACTCAGTGCACTGAGTTTGACTGTTTTTAATATTTCAACTCTTACCATGAGATAAATCAGCTGTCTGTGGTAGATAGAACAAAAAGTAACACAGTATATAAAGATTGTTTAATAAAAATAGGGCACAAAAATAATTAACAAATAATATAAGTAATAAAATAACTAAATGTCAATTAGTTGTTATATCTACATGTGAAGGTTCAGAACTTTGTGGTAGAACAGGTGAATCATTGCGGGTTGAAAACAATATTACTATAAGGTCTGCTAACAGTATAAATATAATTAACATTGGTAGGACTCCATTTAAAACTGTTGCTGCATTATTTTCTGGACTCATTATAAGTTCTTTAAACACTGTTATTGATAAGTATGTGTGAAGCGAAGAACAAGCAACGAGTGCATAAGTTTGTAAAAACTGAGATGCATATTCGTTACGAGTAGATCCCAAAATTAAAATCCCCATAAATATATACGTGCTAAATATTGCTATTGGCGATGATATTGCATGAGTCATGCCTAAAGTTGGTGTAGCTCTTTCATTGATGAAATCAGCTGTATTCACCACTAGTATTAAGAATCTCAACTTGCAAGAGCAACGTTCGACGCTCATTGAAATATCTCCACTGCTAGAATGCCTCTTCATTGTGCGGTACATTTACGCTCTTCTGTTGGCCAATACATTACAGATTCTGTGAATGTAAATCTTAATTAATATCCGTTTCATATTTTTTGTAGGTATTTAGTGAGAAATTTATTGGCAATCTCTGGAATAAACAGGTAAAAAGAGCAGGAACTCCGAGGAGAACCATGGGCTACTGTCATCTTAATTGAAACTCAGCAGTCAGTATTGACGTAAATTGCGAATTACTGAATTTATTCTCGCCTTACCAAGTGCTTTTCACTCAGAATTAAAAAAAAAAGTGTTTTCCAGTAGATATATCCATGGAAGATTCACAGAGAATCAACTACTATCTACTAGTGTAATACCCAACGAAATAGCAATTCTAATTCGTTGAGTTCTAAATCCATCCATCCAAAAATAATCCGAGTTACCTATTTATTTTCCAAAAAAAGTTCCACTTTAAAATGCAAGAAACTATGGACCACTCTAGATGGGACTCGCAACTTCACATCCTTCGTCATTGCTTTTGTTATCCGGTGAGGGCTTGTCTGTTATTTTTAACTAGTCTATGCTGCTCAACACCTGGTGGCTTGTTCCGCGGAGGATATAATGACGCAAAGAGATTTCGTTATATTAGTGGCCGCTCGCGACTTCGCCCGCGGTAACTTTAGTTTTTGAAAATTTCTCAGGAACCTAACACTTTTCCGGGATAAAAAGTATTCTATGTCTCAATCCTCGTCATGAACTATATGCGTACCACATCCACATTCGTTCAGTGGTTTAGGCGTGAAAGCGTAACAAACAAACTCACTTTCGCATTTATAATATTAGTTACGATATGCGTAAGGCTGTATACAGAAAGAAAGCTGGAACCCGATCAGCGCTTGTCGGCGGTTGCCAGCGCTGATCCTTACCGGTAACCGGCGCAAGCATTTCTATGGACCAGAGCCGATAAGCGCCGACACGCGCTGGTCAGCGATGGCACCGCCCTTTGAAATTAATTAATGAACAACTAGGCTTCAATCTGGTCAAAATCAAACAAGCGCTGGTCGGTTTCCAGCTTTCTTTCTGTATACGGCCTCAGATCTTTTAATATAGGTAAATATACATGTAAATCGAGGTTTGTTACTTTCACGCTAAAACTCGAACGAACTTAGATTAAATTCGGCACTTAAATAGTTTATTGTTTATTTTCGCGGTCGTGGTTTCTAGCACTGGGATGTTATCTATACTACAAATTTTCTAGTCGTCTTGGATCAATGGTCAATTCTGATTTCCTTGACACAGTTTAGCTATTTGCTTACTTTATTATAATTTCGGTCTTGGGGAAGTGTTTAAATATTTTTTATGCTAAAATGGTGACAAAGCGTATGGCCTGCCTGATGGTAAGCGGCCATCACAGTCTATAGACACTTGCGATACCAAAATTATTACTCGCACAGTTGCCTATGACCTAATGCCCTACCCCGCGGAGTCCTGGAACCTTTCACCGACAGATACAACATCATCAAAAGGTAGTGTTATTTTACTGTGATTTTCTGTAAGGTGGAGGTTACTTCATCAGACGGGCGCTCCAATTCGAGCGGAAATCCACTATTGCGGGATTTACACTACGCAATTTTAAGGGGTCCTTACCCTGACTAAGGGTGGTGTAATGTGACTTTACTCCCTTACTTTACTTTACTTGTAAGGGACCCGATCTAGGGCGATCGGTGCGGTATAATAATTGCTTACCCTAGCTAGGGGCCAAGCTCACCCTGGGTAGTGTAAATCTCGTTTATGCCCTTCATTACTACTACTGATAACAATGAGACCCCTCGGAGCCTGCTGCCCCGGGCCATGGCCTTCTCGGTCCTTAGGTAAATACGCCCCTGGGTATATTCAAGCTGTCATCACTTCTTCACATTCAATTCATTTGCGTGGAATTTTCATGCGAAAAACAGGTTTGAATCTCTAAATAGATTTGGATGAAATTTGGTATAGGTTTCGCATAGTTAAATTAGCCAGCTAATTAGTCGCCTAGGGCGTTCATTTAATCGCCGTCATCCAATTTCATGCTGAAGCGGACGGTTAATTGAACAAGAATTCTACGTTTAACAACTTAGCGTACTGAAAGTTCAAGTTCAAAATGACTGATTTAAATAATTTAGCTGATCTAAAACTGTGGCGAAAAAATCTACCTAACAATTTTTACAGTCATCAATATTCAATTAAACTAAACGTCTACACAATGTATACCTAGCTGTCTGATTACCTACACTTTGCGCTCAATGTCTTCTTGGCTAGTTATTTTTTAGCCATTTCATTGGAAGCCGGCGTTTAATGAACGCCTAGGCGTCCAATTGGCTGGGCAATTTAATTAAAAGTTAGCGGCATCGTCCCTAGGATAGGATTCAAAATGAATCTTTCAATAAATGTAGATAATTATTCAACACATTTATTTAAAATTGTCTCCTCAATAACTTAAAAACTTTGAAAAAGTCCAAAACACTACTCACAAGTAACCATAATGTACTCAATAAATACTTACATGCTAGTTCATAATAATAGTTATACACAATGTTGTACAATAATATCATTTACACAAAACAAAATTGGCCCCATTTAGAGCAATAAAAATGTCTTTGAGCTGAATAACATTCATTCATAAGTAGTTCTATCACTGTTATTGACCATGCAGTGCCTGCACAAATGGCACATTATGCAAGAAAAGACTAGATTAAAGCTTCTATCAATTTCATTGCTTCATACAAAATATCTACACCCTCAAAACAATTTTTAAAGCACCGCTTTTCATCTTGAACATTTCATCATAATGCTGTTTCTAATGTGGTCGGAGAAACTTTTCCTCTGTCCGGAGAAGATTTGCTTCTTGAATTCGCGGTCGACGGACCAGCCGTCGTTGGACTTCTGAAAGAAGTGAACTTTGGAGGCGATGATTCTGGCGATCTATTGAAGAATTCCGCCCGTTTCGCTTGCATCATTTCAGACCTGGATAAACCATGCGATTTGGCAAAATCTGCACTCAGTGGAAACACACCTTGGTCTATTAACGACTGAGCATCATTTTCTGTTTCGTAAATATTTTCGTTTATCGGTATAAGATTTCTTCTGGCTCCAAAGTGTTGGTTAAGTTGGTTTGTTACGATAGGAATTGTCTTAGTCGGTGATATAGGCGACACCTCATGTTTTTCACCAGAACTATTGGAATGTTCGTCTTCGTTGTATGCCTCTGGTATAGGTGTTGATAAGACATCGGATCTCGGGCTTGAGAATCTCCATTGTGATTTTGGAGATAATAAAATTTTAGGACTATTTTTATGTTCTTTTATTATGGCACCGGTCCTTCCAGGTGAGGCCGGCTGTGGATTCGCTTTGATTACTTTTCTGTGGGTATACGTTTTCGGTGATCCACTTAGGTCTAAAATGTTAACATGGGACTTGTTTGTTGACTGCATAGGCATTGAAGGTAGTTGAACTTTCTCTTTCGAAAGTTTTAACTGCTCCACCGCTGAAAGCTTATTCGATTTTGTTTGTGAATTTAAAGTGTTAAGTTTAACGCTATGTTGTAAAAGCAACTTTTTAAAGTCTAGCCTGGAGGTTTGTGGTATTGGTCCGTATCGGTCTGCACAAGTAGATTCTTGTTTTTGAAAGGCGTAAGCAGCTTGTGCTGGAGATGGCGTATAAAGCTTGTCTGCTGGCGACCAGCTCATTCTTGAACGAGGATCTCCTAAATAACCAGTCTCAGGATGCTTTTGAGATCCTTTAGTGTATAACGATGTTTCTGAACTTACAGGTGATAAACTTATAGTGGATAAAGCAGGTGACTCTGCCCGCTCTGGAGCGTCTCTAATATTTAATTTCTTTTTGCTTTTATGTATTACCGCATATAATTCTTCATTTGTCATAGTGGATTTAACTGGTGATATTAATTTCGTGCTAAGGTCGATTACATTTTCCTTATTTGATGGTGTTGAAGATTTAAAAGAACCAGTTGTTCGTGGATCGATGGGTGATATTTTGATAGAATAATCATTAGTTTTAGCTACTCTGGACCCGACTCTGTGTGGGTCGGTCTTAGCTGGAGGACAATTTAATCGAGATGCATTATACTCTAAGGTATTCCTACTAGGTAGCGTCCAAAATTTTGAACCAGGTTGTGGATTAGATGAGGTTTCGTAGTTGACAACACCGTGTTTACCGCGGAGATGTGCAGTGTGGTATTTGTACAGGGTGGGATTTAGTGCATTTAAATCAATAGTTGGGCCCTTTTCTGTACCCACGGTGTGAGATGCATTTGTAAGCGGCTTGTCAGCACTGGAACGTCGATAGTCTGAAAATGTAAGAACACTATAGATAAATCACTAATTACATATGAATAGAATATACACAACGCCCTCATATAGCTATAAAAAATGAGATATTATTATAGAATATGACTACCTATCTACGTATATACCTCATAGCCTACTAAACAAGTACCTACTTCATTTAAGTTTACAAAACAGGCAGACTAACGCAGAACGATCGTAGAATTGCTATTAGCTACTTCAAACAGTAATATTTCACTAAGGTGTGGTGTATCTAATAACTATGTAAATTCGTTTAAATTTAAATTTCATCGAGTAGGTAGGTATCTATATTCACTCACTTTACATTTTAATTTCAAAATTAATGGATATGTGATATTTTAATGACTTTCATAAAAAACTGTATCGATTTTGTTTACATTATGAATTCTATATTTATGAAATATGCGGGTAAACAAGTCTGCGATCGTGCCACGACAATAATAATATAATATAAAAAAGCAATTCCAATATTTTGCTCACAAATAGAACACAAAAGAGTTAATTAATATTTGGTATCTAATAAATGGAGAATATAATACGCATTTGTTTTCAATGTAAAATATTGGAATCATACTAGCTGGGCGTACCATAGTACCATGCCAAACAATATATTTCTTATTCTTTTGTCAGCCAAGCAAAACAAGAAACCCGATTTGCGTGGAAAATTGTTTGAAGAGTTTCATTGTGTATACTTCGGCTGACAAAAGCACTTCTAAATGAAAAATGCTTCATAAAAGTCTGCTATGATAGTGCTGCGAAACTTAACCACTGTAATAAGTATATAATGTACAACGATTTAAGTATAACGGCACCGATCCCAAAAGCTTAGAGTCACTAAAATATGTATAAAAGCAAACAAATCTAATGCTAAAACAATTCTAAGTAACTTATGCATCGATAAATGCTAAATAAGTGCATGGTATTTTATTCATCATTAATCTTATCATTTAGTGATGATCTGTAGTAATTATAAATTTCTTGGCATGTTAGTATGAATATCTTAGATTAAAACAAAAAGGGAGGATACAGTACGCACGCGCAATACTAGCATCAAATAAAATATGCTCCTACTCAAATACTTAAGCAACTCCTACACACACACATCTGTAAATAAACATTCAATCGAGCGAGCGAGACAACACTGTTCAATCTAGCGAGTGTCCGAGTCCGCACGACTGAGCCACGGTAATAATATCATTAATATTACCGTGGCTGAGCTGTATTGCTGTCCTCTTCTTGATAACAAAATTGCGATTACGTATATAACATTCACGACAAACCGTGATTTATGAGAAAAAAAATATTTTACAGTTTTACGAATGAAAAGTGTTGCCGAGGCATTTGTTATTTGATTTTGAACTATTTGTGTTCTTTGTAAAAGCATCGAAGGCATAGTTTTATCTTTATAACACAGAATATACGCAATATTATTATATTGAGTGCATATGAATGTCCAATTGTAACTAAAGCAAATTGTGGTCATGCACCTCAATTTTAGCGGATCACTTTTGATTCGCGAGTGCCGTATCTTGCCTTTTTGTTTTAATTTAAGATGAATGTGAATAAAGTAGGTACCCCTTGAGGAAACTGTAAAGAAGAAATTGGAAGATTGTGGGTACAAAAGAACTGATTCAAACTTATAACTTTGAAATCGAAAAAGTTTTGTTCGAACCTGCTTTTCATAAAATCGTACTTATATTATTATTTTAATTTTACGATCTTTTACACGGGTTATTATATTGAATCTAATTTGAATTTGAGTAGTATCAACATATTTACAGTTAGTAGTGTTGGTACCTCTTTCTGTGTTCTGTGGTAGTTGCTATATTATTGAAAAGGCATTCAAAATCTCTGTTAATGATAATTAATGATAAGGATCTGTGTAGGATTCAAAGCCTGCTAAGGGTTTCAGACTAGTTAATTATGTAAATTATAGAAAAGCAGCTTTAGAAAGTACCTACTCTATTACTCTTCTTTACAAAAAATTGCTTTGTTCAATTCAAAGACCCGCGATATCCTATTGTAACTTAGATAAATTGTAAACGAATAAATTACTGTAAAGTGAAGAAAAACTATTATTTTAAGGGTTTTATAATAATAAAGGTCTGACATAATTATATATCTTTTCCTAAATAAATAAAACCGACTTCATAAAAGCCAAACAAAATGGATGCTATGATAGGTATAATATAATGCCGTTTAGGCTCTTCTTGGATTGTCGCCTACTTCAAATGTTGTTAATTATACTTCAAACGCACTTTCTTATAAATTAATTAGGTAGTATTGATTTAAGTATTCTCTAAGAATTATTTCTTAATTTTTTGCTACTTCAGTAGTTTTTGTGAAGACGGTTTTAATTAAAAAGTGTTTGGAAGTCGGAAAAAAGAGCGAGTCATCGAATGATATACATACTATATTATTATATATAATGTACATACATGTTATCTTTATATTGTCAATAATGAAAGATGAGTTGGTATTGTAATTTGTGATTGCTTGTAATATGTCTCTGATATTCTGCACTCACAGAAATCTTTAAATTAACACAGAGGCAACTCTATGAACCTACATAACAATTTTTAAAAAGATATCAGTTTATCCCATAACCTGCCCAGCTCATAGTATTATTTGTTAGTGCACTCTCAAAAAAGAGATAGGTAATGTTAATACCCAAAATTTACCATGCAAAAAAGCAACATAAAACTTTACCTTCTTTGATGTTAACAAGTCGTAACAATTGGAAGCAACCTCCTTCACTGTGCAAAGCGGTGTGAGATGAGTGCAACAAAAAAAGACTACACCTTAAAATTTTCAACACAACTTTATTAGTGAGTGTCTAAAATAGAATTATGTATATTTATTTGTTCTCTTATACCACGATTTGTGATGTTATGGACGGTTACCTATGACATTGAATAGTGTATTCCTATTATTAATTAGTGCCTGATTTTTAAGTGCCTTACCCACAGTCATGTTATTTACAAGAATAGAATTCACCAATATTTTATTGTAAAATTAAGTCCAATTTTTCTCTTACGAATTAAAAGAAGTGTGAAGAAAAATAGAACTTAGTTTACCATAAGTATTAAAATTGCGACGCCATGTGCGCTGTGCCAAAATGAGTGAAGTGAGGGGAGAGAGTGAAAGGAGTCAAATTAAATTAAATGAATAAGTTAATTCACAATAATTCTATAATAACAATATTTACAAAACACAGAATAACACACCATGCACTTAGTTACATACGAAGAAAACACTCGTACTCGTAAGCTGTGCATTTCGAGGTGAAGAAAGCCACCATGCATAGATTTGTCTCAAAAAATTTTAAAACATCATAACATATGGATATTTCATAGAATACTGTAAAGCATTATAATTTATAACATATATTTTTAAAAATCTTAAAGTATAAGTTGTTACAGATATGCGTATCACAGAAGTATTGTATAAAAGGAAGACAATTTTTCAAGTAGGTACATTGAATGGAGGACGGAACCATTTTCAACAGTCTCATAATAATTCTAACACTTAGAAACTAATTTATTTAACTTTCGTCTACTTTAAATGAAATAAAATAAAGTTCGGTAACCAAATAATAATAATATTTGTAACACATTATGTGATTAGTCGATAACACAATAAACTAGTCATAAATGTATGACAGTCACCAGATTTCTGTTCCGTAATCTGATTCAGAAATTGAAAGGATTCTAGCTCTATGTTTAGAACTGTCAAAAGGCACAGTTACTTTTGAAGGCGACAGGGGACAGCCAGGGGGGGAATGTAGAACACACACTTCATCGGGATCAGAATCTAGGATAGCAGTTAACATATCGATCGAAGTATCCCTATTATCAGGTACAAGAGCAACCGAATGACGTTTCGGTAAAGGAGTTGTAAAGGGACTTAATGTCAAAGCCGACAACTTTGAATTAAACTGATTGTTCATATAAGAAGTGTCATCGTCATTCCTACTTTCGCAATTATTTAAATCATTCACACTTCTATGGCCAAGCTTAGGAGATATAGAAGGCGGATAGTTTATTTCATCACGTAATAAATCAGCTGTTATTTCAGCCTGAATCATTTCAAACGAATCACCTTTTTTCGTATTGGTAGTGAACGAATCTAACTTGAGCAACTTTTTGATCGGCATAAGAGGCGAATTTGCCAATTTGTAACTATCACTACGTTTAATTTTGTTAACAGGTTTTATATCGTCATGATCATTTGAAACATTGGAATTAACAACGTCTCTACTGTTAGAATTAACAATATCACTAATATCGGCATTAAATTTGCCAGTAAACATCTTCATTACTTCACCAACTTTATTCACCAATTTATTATTATACTCTAATTGGCGCTTATTCTGTAACATAATAGGCGTTTGGAAATTTGGAACAAATGGTATTATATCATCACTGCTTACGATATCAGAAGACTGATCTTTTAGTTTACTTTTAATAAATAAGTTATTTGTTACAGATTTTGAGCAAATTTGATTCTTACCTGCTGAATCGTCTTTCGTCGGGGATAAGCTGACACCTTCCGCATCGTGAATATTAACATAAGCTCCTGTTCTAGTAATCACTTCTACTACTCGTGGTAGATCGTTAATATTATTTGTTGGTTGTTTGGTTAAAACAGAATCGGTTAATGGTGTTGCTGTAATTATTGTACTAGGTTTCGGTGAGGGTAATGCGATATACTCTGTAGTTACAGGACCATCTGGTTCTACTGGTGCTTTTATAATCATTTTTCCTAATTGTGGTGAAGTTGGTTTATTGGTATATGATGGTGGAGGTTCATAAGGAAAATCTGTTTCGTCAGCAATTTTCACTACGTCTGCCATTTCTGGTTGTATTATGCTGGTTGTAGGATTTATTTCCTGAACAAATGGGCCAGGTTCGAAAGTCGTATGTGCGCCTTTTCGTCGTTTCAATGTATCGGAGGAATAGATTACTTGTCCTTGAGAGTCTAAGGTCACTTTTGCCCCTTTCTTCTTAATTTCTTCTAATGCTGGTGAAGGATGTTCATCAATACTGTTATCCAAAAAGTCTTTACTTTCATTTAGATAATTTGGCAACTCATTCAGTGAAACATATTCAGTTTCTGGAAGTTTTCCCGAAAGGACAGTTTGAAGATTTTTTCCAATAATATCACTATTTCCATAAATTCCCCTGTTTAAGTTTACTTTTTGGTTATTATTTTTAACATCGGCAATAGTAACATAGTCACCAGAATCAAACAAAACCTCTTCCGATTCTGGTTCTTTTACTGTCGGGGACTTCTTATTTGATAGTTTGTGTGGCAGCACTCCTTTCAACTTACACATTAAATTATTAAATGGCTTTAAGTTTATCTGTGGAGACTGTTTATTTGTTTTGTTGTTTTCTATAGGTTTGGCGTCAATAGGTAATTCCAACTTAGGCCGAGTTATTAATTTAACATTAGTAGTTTCATCAGGGTTTTTGGGATCCATTTTCTTTTCTGTTTCAGATTTACTGCTCGATTCACTTTCATCATCAGAGTTAGTTGGCGTAATAACGCAGAGAGAAGGTATTCTCGAACTATTTATCGTTGTCTTATATCTGATCCTTTCTATTCTATCGGTTCCCTCCAAGTCGGAGGATTCTGAATAATCTTGTTCGGAAAGACTATTTTTACCGTGAGCACTAGATACAGAGTCTTCGATGGGTGAACTAGAAGTATTATGCCCAGAATCGGGTGAACTAGTTCCTGTACTTTTCTTGGCACTTTCAAAATCAGTCTCAGTATGAATTTCAGCCACAGCCGTTATTTCTCTATGTTTTCCAACATTGCTTGTAATGGTTATAGTGGACGTCGGAACTGTATTAATTTCAGGCGACGAGTGATTGTTAATTTGTTTATCATTGAAGGGACGGAGACTATTATGTCTTAAACTACTATAAGGAGATTTAGTGAACGATGAGCTCATACTCCTTTCTAAACTAGCGTTAGCACTATGTATATTGTTGCTTCGAATACGATTAAATTTAGTCAATGAGCTCTTTCGTTCGGGAACTGTAGGGCCTATAACTAATGAACGATCACTTCCAGCAGCCATTAAAGTAGTACAAACTGTACCCGCACTACTTGTTGTGGTGCTCGTAGAGCCTTTACCAAACAGTTCATATTCATTTTCTGCGGTCAGTGTATGACTATTCGAGGAATTAGACAACGCGTTACTTGTATGCAACGGAGTGCTGGGTGAAATTTCTTCTTCTTTTAAGGTTTTCAATCCGGAATCCATATGGAAAGATGTGTAATATCCCTCCGTGTCACATGAAAATTCTGAACTTGTTTCTAAATCTTCGTGTAAGTCATGAATAATGTCAGGAGTAAGAGTGCCTTCACTAGTTACGCTGCCGGAGCCTGAAGTGTTCAAAAACCTCCTTCTACTAATAATAGAACTGGGTGGGCCGTGCCCATGTAGATTTAGTGAATTGTTGGAGGTTGCAGCTGATGTACTACTTTTAGGTGGTACAGTTGTAGTAGTTATTTCAGAGCCAATACTAGTTCTACCAGACTCCGAGCTGGCTGACCAATTTCCACTTGAGGAATGAGGTTCATCTTTTCCGATACCTGAACGCCTCATTCTTCTTTGAGTTGAGGTTGCTCTCAATTTTACACCAGCATTTATTGTGGCGGTGGTCGGTAAGCTTACAGGGATACCTATACTCTTCTCAGAAGAAGAATACGATGCACATCTTTGATGCGATCGTCTATCTTCTTCTCCGTTGCGTTTCTTTCTCATTGTGACAGTTTCTTGTACTTGACAGTCATCTTCTCTGATAGGAGATTTAGATTCTCTAATTTTATCTGTCTTTGAGGTGTCTTTAAAACTGTCTCTACTGGCACTGGGTGATCTTCCAATCATCTTTAATCGGTTCTTGCCCCATTGCTTTAGGCTATTGAAATGACTCTTTTTAGTAACGGGATCAATTGGGCTTTTCTTAAGTAAGTCGCTAGATCTCGACCGGATGACTGTACTATCTTCGATTTCTTCAGAAGCCACTGCATTTGGTGTATCGCTATGATAGAACAAACCAAGCAAAGCATTAGTCACACGCTAAAGGCCTATATTTGTAAAATCTTTGAATAACATCGCTTTGTCTCGTAACAGCGGCGGCATTCAAAGACGTAATTAATAATGAAGCTAATGAACAAATGGCACTATTAGTGTTCAAGTGCACAAATGATTGGTTGTCTTTGCACCATATTTTTGAAGTTAAGTAAACAATGACAGCCAATGGTAAACAAAATGTATTCACAGAAGCACGAGACTGTATTATCGAACGAGTTGTTAAAAATGTGCAGAAGATTTTAATTGATTTGGAAAGGCTATCCACACATTACTGTGCAGAAAGGTTAAATTGATCCAATGGGAGATAACATTATCTACATTTGCTTTTAAGTTTATCTGAACAACAAAGTTAATTTATTGTTATAGATAATGTCACCTTTATTAAATGAGTGAGTGTACGGTGCAATCTAGAAGCTTACCCAGCTATAGCCTCTCTAAGCTCTTTTTGATCAGTGCCCGAAATGGTGTTTCGTCTTTTACCCCGGGGTTTTCTTGTGCGTGTGCGTCGTTTCACTGTGTCCGTCTCTCCGATGCTTTCTACAAGAAGCGACTTTCGAGAGCTGCACATTCTGTCGAAGAATTTCCCTGACGTGTCGATCGCAACAACTTCCGGAGGAAATCTGGAATACAGTTTGTTCGATTAAAACATATAAATAGTTTCATTTAACCCTTTTCTTTGGAATTAATCTATTTAAATAAAAAACTAACTGGCTAACCCATTGAGTGATCAATCAAAACAGCCGAAACTGCAGGGTTTAATAGCACGATATTTCCGACGTATTATTTTTTTGACGCAAATTAGCATTAAGAATGGATAGTTGAAATAGAAGATGAAAATTTGTACAGAACTTCCTTATTTCACCCGACTTAGGACTATGAAGGTTGGTATGTGGCCCATTGAATATAATCTCTTTACAGTATATTTGGAATTTAATCCACGGGGTCAACAAGTGTCATTAGTACTGTAGCAGGTAATAGAGGCGACGGCTCTCAAATGCTCGTCTGGAGTAGGCAACTTATGATCTACGGGTCATCGATCCGGGAGCCACACTTGGACAGCTCATCCTGAGCCAGGGCCGCTATAAGTACGGTAGTTAAAGTAGACATACTTGGAGGCGATGACTTTCAGCTGCTCGTCCGGACTAGGCAGCCTATGGTCTATGGGCTCGTCATCCCCGTAGTCGCACTCGGACAGCTCGTCCGGAGTCAGGATCACACTGTTCGCCATAAGAACGGTAGTCATAGTAGATACATACTTAGAGGCAATGACTCTCAGCTGCTCGTCCGGACTAGGCAACCTATGGTCTATGGGCTCGTCGTCCCCGGAGCCGCACTCGGACAGCTCGTCCAGAGTCAGGGTCACACTGTTCGCCATAAGTACGGTAGTCACAGTAGATACATACTCAGAGGCGATGACTCTCAGTTGCTCGTCCGGACTAGGCAGCCTATGGTCTATGGGCTCGTCGTCCCCGGAGCCGCACTCGGACAGCTCGTCCGGAGTCAGGGTCACACTGTTCGCCATAAGTACGGTAGTCACAGTAGATACATACTTGGAGGCGATGACTCTCAGCTGCTCGTCCGGACTAGGCAGCCTATGGTCTATGGGCTCGTCGTCTCCGGAGCCGCACTCGGACAGCTCGTCCGGAGTTAGGGTCACACTGCTCGCTATCCGCACGGAGGCGTCAGGTAATGCGGTCACGTCCCCAATGGCTTCCTTCGACGTCCATTTGCGTAAATGCTCCACAACCGAGGGCTGGAATCGCGAGTTATGTACATGTCTTTTATTTATTTATAACAATAATTAGGTCACATTACATCACTTTGCACTTAAACTAATTATATTTTAAACTAGTTTTTTTAGAATCCCACAGGAAGCTAACTCCGGGACAAAAGTATCCCATGCCTCAGTCTAGATCATAAACTATATGTGTATCTTTCATCCAAATCCGATGAATCGCTTTTAAGTGTTTGAGTCACAAACATACAAACTTTCACATTAATAATATTAATTGGATTAAATATTTGTTTTTTTAAACTAAATATTTAGTTAGTAGGTATTATTTTTCAATTCTATAATAATTGATTGACCACAATGTTGGTTTCACAATTCTACTTATATTACTAATATTATAAATTTGAAAGTAGAAGTAATTTATGACCTGGATTGAGACAAAGAATACTTTTTATTCCGGAAAAATGTTAGGTTCCTGTGGGATTTTCAAAAAGCTTAAGTTAACATGGAAAAAGCGAGCAGCCGCAAATAATTACTTTAGCATGCTAACTTAAGAATAGTAAGTAGTAGTTTTCTCTTTTTCAATTAGTAGTAGTATTGAAATGATTGAATTGACATCAATCGATCTCTGAAACGCCACCCCTTCCTGTAACGGTCGAATCCAGACGCTAGTGGTAGTTATATTTTCATCTAGCGGACACTAAGGCAGTGATGTTTATAAAAAATGTGGTAATGAACATAGAAAGAAGCTGCAATTTTATACTTACAATATGTGTTTCTATTTCAACATCGACTTTCTGATATATGCGTCTTCGTTTCGCTCCTAAGACAGGTGTGCATAGGAGGTAAGGTGAATACTGGGAGTCCTTTCGCAACTGATCGAGGATGGATGCGGAGAGCCGGTCCGTGGTTGCCCTCTCGTACATGTTGCGTAAGCTAGGCGGCCTGGAAGCAGTAACGCATTGTATTTGGTCGTTGCAACATTGTGGGAGGTTTGACCTTTATTGAGATTCAGTTAAAATTCAATAAAGTTCAAAGATATGGTATATCTGTATGTTGTATTCCATTTCTAGGCTATAGAAAGCAAGGTACTACTAACTATCAAACTTTTCATAAAGATAATAATCGAGAATTTCAATCAAGCTATGTTGGAGGTCCCGATTTTGACACAAAAAGACAACAAACTTTTTGTATTGTATCGATTCTAGTGTACATATTATGTACTTAGATACTAATGATGTTTTGTTTTTATTTCCTGATAACTAAAATTGTTTGTGAAAGTTATACAATGTTTTTACAAATACTAACAAGAAGAAAACAAAAGACAGAGTTTATTTGCTCCTTCTACTTTTGTTGGATAACTTTCAAATACCAGACAATTAATTTCAAGACTCGTTTTGTTGTAAAAATGACACATTGTCCTTTCTTTTTTTGTATTAGGATTAGGTAACTTACCTGGTGTCGGGTGTAAAGAGACCCTTTTTAAGGGGGTTACTCGCCGTGTAGTGGATTTTGCGTGCAGCAAAATCGGACAGGCTTCCCTCAGCTGTAAAGAAGACAAATAAACAATTTAAACTTTACATCTATGTAGATATTCATGAAACAGCGATAATGAGAGTGAAATAGGCAATGAAATTTTGGGAAACCAATAAATATATTTTTAAATTTGAATTTGCAAAAAAGCAATCTCAGACAGAGTACATGATCGATTGATGTTAAGTTTAGCAAACAAATTAAGATTTCGCCTACAGAAATGGAAACATAAGAAAAAAGGAAAGACATATCAATAGACACTGTTAAAATAACAAATATGACTAATCTATCGGTGCAGATAATTGATAAGTGGGCTATCACAACACAACACAGAAATAGAGCCGAGTCTCTAAAACAGCAATAAACGACGGCGAATACAAAATACCACACGAAGATTTATGAACGTTGCATAAAGTCGTGTTCCAACGATCCTGAAGTGTCGTGACTAAACCTATTTCGGATTCTAATTATACGATAGAGAAAATAATAGATGCCATTAAAAAGCGTTTGGATAGAACAAAGAAAGTATCTCGCTGAATTAATCACCAGGATATTAATGGGTCCCTATTATTTATGTATCCACTATCGCATATATGCCAGCAAATGTATCACTAGATTTTTTTTTATAATAGTGTTTAGTATTTATATCACGTAATTGATTTCACTTAAGATCAAGTAGAATATGTACCTTTATTTACTTAATCAAATCAATTACATTTTGATATACAATGGCTGTATCGAAAAACCCTTAAACATGGGTTTATCTGTCTTCAGCGATTCGCTCTAACAAATATTTTTTAAGTTTATGTTTACAATTATCTTTCATATACAATTTTTGAATACTGGGGGGCATTTCATTTAGAAATTTAGGAATAACATATTTTAGTGTTCTCGAACCGTATACATTGTTGGTTTTCGGTAGGAGATATTTTTTATAATTAAGGTTACGCAAGTATTCTGGACGATGGTGAGTCTGTAGATTATGTGCACTGTTATACTCTCCTCTACTGTTATACTCCTTAGTCAAGATAGCACCTAATTTATCATCGATGCTGGTATCTTCTTTACTTGTATTAGTGCATATTTTTTGGTCGTCCTCAAAATATATATATATAATCAACCTTCAGCCTTATTGAGCTGTACTCAGCAGTAGGTATTTTAACTGTAAATAATTTACAATTCCAACTGTATAAATAATATTGGTGAGAGTAAGAAATGTAAATGTGGAATTGTAAAGAGGCACACGAGATACATGTTAAGTTTTTATCCGTGCGGTGACGGCGAAAGAATACTACTCACTGCCCCTTCTCTTCCCGTGGGTGTCGTAAGAAGCGACTAAGGGATATCGGAGCTTCCATCCGCTCTTCAGGTGGTAGGGTGCCGAACACCCACCTGATTTGTTACCACCATGCTCATAGTGAAAAACCCGTGAAGTGCTACTCGCGCGTTTCGAGGTCAGCCAGCATCCGGCTGGCCGCCCGTGGCACAGTGCAGGGGCTCGAGCGTTCCTAACCAGCTCGCGAGGCTGCCCCATCATGTCACGCATAATCTCGGGGTGGACTGTCGTGCCGGTTGGTGAGCGGGGCGTAGGGTCCCGGCGGCCACTCCCAGAGGGGTGCGGGGGCCCTTCCGTATGGCGGGTCGGCGCATCTCCTCTGCAGGCAGACATTCGGGAAAACAAACCTCCCTAATTTGTCCGGTCTTGTCAGTACAACGTCCGCACGTTTTCATGTCTCTTTTTCACCTCCACTATGGCAGCCTCTAAAACAAAGTTTGGACATACAGCGGTGCACACCCCCACGCCTTCAACACTGTTAGAGGTTGAGTTCTGCAACATACGCGAACTCCACTCTTACCTCAACGCTGTCCACCATCATCTTGAGACAGCACGGCCAGCATTGTTGTTCCTGAAGGAGTCACAAATACTTCCGCCTGCTGACAAGGGCTACCTTAACTATCCCGGCTACGTGCTTAAAAAGTCCTTCAAAGCGAAAGCCTGTTTATGCCTATATGCTCGGGCGGATATTTGTTGTCGCCGTCTCCGCTGCTTGGAAGATCCCTGCTTCTCCATGCTGGGGGTACACGTCGAGTCTGGTCCACTGGCTAGAGTCTACGTGGGCCTCTACAGATCCTTAATCGGGCAGTGTGTGTGCCTAACTAGTGTAAGTTCGAAACAATATGAACTTTGACATTCGATTATTGATACTGTACTTGGCAACATTGTTAAAATGTTCACAGATATGGTTTAAAAATAGGGAAATGGGCATTCAATAGAACAAAGAAATCAAAAAGACTTTAGAAGATTATATTATTCTAAAGTCTTTTTGATTTCTTTGATTGAGCATTATTAAAATAAAGTTATTTATTTCTTATGTTTTCACGTACACTACTAAAAAAGATAATGATTTAGGTAAAAAAAAATAAGTTATAATTTAGTAATAAGGAAATAGGCATTGAACAGAAAAGAAAGACTGCTGTCATTTGCAAACATAGCAATTTTATGGCTTTGGAAAGCGTCATTGGGAGGCAAATAGTGTCAATAAAATATTCCTACAGCAAGAGCCATTCAGCGTCTAGAAAACTTATTCTATTTGTGCTAGATGCAGAAAGGGCATTTACATCGAGCAGTGGGCGCATTCCTCGATGTCGCAGTTCCACTCAGAGGATATAAATTTTCAATCGTGGCGTGTGGTGTGCCCGTGGAGGTACTTTTGTATTACAATGTCCTTTCACATACGCCATTGAAGAGAACTAAAAAATGTACGTTGTGGCCTCGAAAAAGAAGTAATATTCTATTTTCAAAATTCAATTCAAATCAAATGTATGATTGAATTTTTGTACTACTTTGTGTACTATAGTGTATTTATGCTTGAGTTTATATAACTTAACATCTTTAAAGATTTGTTTCACAAATAATAATTCAAAATATGCTTGTTTTTTTTTTTGCTTTATTTATCTACGTGTTGTTAGCGACAAATAATTTTGTAAATATTTTTTGCATGATTTTGCTATGGCATAAACTTTTTAAGATACTTAATCTTAAAAGTTAAATTTCGTTCGTTTTATTAATAGATACGTAGGAACCTACTTACTACCTTACTGATTTAGATATTATTGTAGAATACCAACTCCATTCCCCCGTGAATAAGGCGAGCGCAGGAAACTAGTTCCATATAAAACAGATAGTGAGATTGAATAGTATTGGTGATCAATAAGAAATGTGCAAGTGTAGGGCATTGTGAACCGGCCTTGGCTCCCCGCGGACCAGGTTCGCTGTGGGTGGCGGCATTACTTGTGTTCAATGTTCTCCATTTTTATTCTTCATAAAATTTCTGTTTCAAAGAGTTCAAAATTATAGTTACAATCAGTTTATTAAATGGTTTTTGACACTGAATTGATATATGACGTGCGTAAGCAAAAATCATTTTTTTAACACACACCAATTAGCCTAGCCCCAAAGTATAAGCACTGTAGGCTCGTGTTATGGGATACTAGGGCAACAAATAGTATACATATATTTATATAGAAATACATATTTAACATCCATGACTGGAGTACAAATGCTCGTATTTATCACACAAACATCTACCCCCACCGGGATTCGAACCCGGGACCTCTCGAGTAGAAGACACCTTGAAACCCGGCGAACAAACCACTCGGCCACGGAGGTCGTCAATTTTGGATGTTTATCTAGTAAAATAAAATGTCTTGTCATACCCTACATACAGAATAAAGTGAGCGTCAGAATGGCCGGTCACTACCCATATTTTACATCGAAATAATTATAGAAAGTTGCTACCTAGTTGCTTCTAGTTGCTACTAATCGTTAAATAGTTGCTACCCCCGATTAAAACAAGCTTTTAAGCTTTTTAGGGTGACCAGCCATTCTGACGTCGGAATGGCTGGTCACCTATCCAGTGAGAACAAACTGCGTAGCTAAATAGAGATTTTTTTAAAGCAATAGTTGCTACTTGGTTGCTACCTTAATATATATCGTTTAGGACCTCCTAGCTTTTAAGGATAAAGAGTTATAATCAATTGAGCGTTCAGACATTATTAAAACTGAACGCCTGTAGAATTATACGAGCAAATTCGAAATCAAGTGCATAATGGGTATTGCATAAGCAGGCGCTGCGTAATAGAATTTATTGTAAAAGTTGTCTACTATACATTATGTAATGTATGTTTTTAGTTGTAATAATATAATGAATAATATTATTATACCGTGCGAAACAAGACAAACTAATTTTAATTTCTGTATTGAGTTATTTTTGTTTGTTTGTAAAAAATATTTCTGATGAAGGTAGCTAAATTTTTACTTTATTATGCAGAACAGTCTACTGTTGTTTCTGGTACAATTATCGCATTCAAAGCGTTGTATTGTTTTATTATAGTAAGTTAATACCAATTGTTGAGGAGCTCGATGGCGCTAGCGCATTTGGCTGCGATTGTTGAAATTAAGCAACATTCGCAATGGTCGATCATTGGATGGGTGACCGAAAATCTTCTATCTCGAGTTCCTCCGTGCTTCGAAAGGCTCGTTAAGCTATTAGTCCCGGCTGCATCTGCAGTTGTTAGCACCCGCCAATCCGCACTGGGCCCGTGTGGTGGGTCATGGCCCAATCTCCCTATGCCATCCATAGGGAAGACCTGTGCCCCAGCAGTGGGGACATTAATAGGCTAATGATGATGATGAATACCAATTGTGCGGGACGGCGGGCTGTCGTAGTAGCGAGAAGTTACCGACCCGCACTTATTAGGTGGAGGGTCGAACGGAGGTGTTTTGACGATGGAAGTGGACTGTAGCTGGCGAAATAAAACCACTCAAGATTCGTTGTCGAAGAAAGTCGATGTGCGCTGGTAATGGATGGCCGGTAAGAAGTCTTCAAGATCCAGGGAGAACCGCTAATTATTCCTTCTTCTTATTAGTAGGAGCGCCGGTCGCTGAATGACATAAACAAATCTCAGTACCAAACAAATCGCACCAGTAAAGTTAGTTTTAAACAATAATCA